TTGAAATTATAATTATGTTAGTAGTTGGTTGTAATGTTAGTAATTGGAGCATGTTTTGTAAATTCACCTTAATATTCGAAAGGTTATTGTGAGTTTAAAGTTTTTAACTAATAAAATATTCTGTACGTAATCGGTATTATCAATTCCTTAGTTATATGGTCGCGTATTATTTAATCTAAAATCATTATATTTATCGAAGTATCTCTTCAATTTATTTGCCGCGAAAACCGAAACGTGCTCATTTTGTATGTCTCATCTCGAATTCATATGTTCTTTCAAGTGGTCTGAAATTGTAGGTCTTGGACGTACCTATTGCTTCTTTGCTGAAAATATTGCATGGAGCGTGCATTAGAATTCGAGGGCCACTTGAACCTCCGTCTCGAGAATTTTGTTAACTGCATAAAAAGCATAATAATAAAACATTCGTTGAAATCTAGTCTCGAGAAAAACTATTGAAAACAGTTGATATTTTTATATCATGAAGTTTAACAGTTTTGTATTGCTCAGTTTAAATTTGTAATTGTGAAATTTAGGTCATTTGCGCTTTTTTTGTTATTAACGTTTCGCATTTTTTCTTTTGTTGGTGTACAATAAAGAATACTCTCTCTCTATCTCTTATTTAGTCGCTTTCTTCGCTTACGTACATCATCATCGTCATCATCTTTGTAGTTCCCTCACTAAAGAGGATCGTGACTATACATCGCACCATTATAATTGAAGTGGCGTAATCCAAAATTATTGGTTTTTGCTAAACTCCAAAAATATAATTGAAGATTTGAAATTTTAATACTTTAAGGTATGTAATCTCTTTATTTAAACGAGACGGAAAGAGTACGTTTGTCTTTTTCTGGACTAAAAGAGAGTGTTTAATTTTATAAGCTATACTAGTAGAATACAATGACATCTTTACAAGTTATTCGAAGTATGAAACTCATTTTCATAAAATTTCTCCAGTTGTCTCTACAACACTTTTACACCAATGTGTTGGAATTCGGCCACCGGATCACTTCCCATGCCTTTGTCCCACGATCAACTCCAACTCTAGCATATTTGACCTCACTTATTGTCCAAAAAAGCTTAGAAAAAGTCGTTTTTTGATGTGAAGTTATTGTAAAATCGATTCGTTTCTTTCAATTATTGTGAATAGTGTCATCAATGTACGTCTCCAGCACCTCATTTCAAAAGCTTTCATTTTGTTTGTCTCGATTTTTGAGGCACTAAATTTTTTATCTATATTAAAAAAAACAGAAAGTACTAAGGAATGAACTAGAAGTAGCTTGTGGTTCTTTGGTAGCTCATGCACCCTTGCTCTTCCAAAATATCTCAATCCTTTTTTTTATTGCTTAAATGGGTGGACGAGCTCACAGCCCACCTGGTGTTAAGTGGTTACTGGAGCCCATAGATATCTACAACGTAAATGTGCCACCCACCTTGGGATATAAGTTCTAAGGTCTCAAGTATAGTTACAACGGCTGCCCCACTCTTCAAACCGAAACGCATTACTGCTTCACGGCAGAAATAGGTAGGGCGGTGGAACCTACCCGCACGGACTCACAAGAGGTCCTACCACCAGTAATTACGCAAATTATAATTTTGCGGGTTTGATTTTTATTACACGATGTTATTCCTTCACCGTGGAAGTCAATCGAAAACATATGTTGAGTACGTATTTCATTAAAAAAATTGGTACCCGCCTGGGATTCAAACACCGGTGCATCGCTCAACACGAATGCATCGGACGTCTTATCCTTTAGGCCACGACGACTTTACTGTCGTACTCGATAGAGGGTGTTATTGATTTAGCGATTTCTTGATAGCGATTTCTGAGTCGCGTTATGGGTATGTCACTTGGATTGCAGCCACACCTAATATAATTAAATATTTTTATGTAACGAAAATATTTTTTCAGATATACTTCTTAATGGCTTGTAGTGCAACTGATATAATGGTGTTTCACCAGTTAGCCCATTGATAATTCGGAATGCTTTTTTTTATGATTGAAAGTTTACTGGTGGCCCGAAGGCCTTTCCAGTTTCACCAGGACAGGCATTCGGAATGCTACTCCGCGACTACCTACACCACTGACTCCTCTCACGCAGCCAATCACCGCTGATGCTTTAGACAGCCCTAATCGAATCTGATCCCCTTAATCCCTCTCAATGTTGTTCACCTCTACTTCTTGCGCTAACAGAGTGGCCATAGCATAGGTCAGCGTAATCGAAGAAGCCGACATGACCCCTAATAGCAGCCCGTTGTTCTAACCAGATCTTCTCACCGGGTTGGGATACCGGTCCTAAGGTAGATACGTTCTTGAAGCAGACGTCCTTGTTCTGTTAGGACTCTCTAGGGGTGACTCAGGCAATTGTATTCAAACCTCACCCCAAGCCCGGGGAGAGCACCTGTCTTGATAAAGCTGACAATCCTTCCGAGCCACTAGCTATACCAAAACAGTATTTTAAATGCTTTTAAAAACTTTATGCAGTCCGATATTTCGTTTCTTGGAATTGAAGCTCAGAGCTGCCACCAACCATTTTGAAACATGACGTCGGACGTTGAAAGTTCCGTTTGTATTTTTACAAAGACTAATTAAATATATCCTATATGCTAGCAGAGTAATGCGTTTAGTATAGCGTACAATAATATTGCGTGTAAAAACATCAGTATTTCTTCATGGCAAATAAAGCATGTTAATCTATTACACCGCAAATAGTTGCAAAATAGAGTGCTATACCGTCGAACGTGCAACAGCGTCAGAGTATCAAGACCGCAATAGGATTTTGTAAACGTGATGGGCCACCACCGCAAAATGATCGAAGCGTTTGTCATTTCCTATAGGTGAGAGCGTTGCAAATCAGATTACAAAGGCTTTTAAAGGTCCATCCAATCGCACAAAGCGAATATTGTTTTCAGATGCACGTTCGTAATAACGTTGATTTATTAATAATAGTCATTACGTCATACAATTAAATCATTAAGCTCAGATTTTAGTCTGACGATAATTAGGTACCAAAATGTTATTAATATATTATTAACATGAGTGACATAAATTTCAAAACATAAGCATTTTTTGTATTATTAATAAAAAAAGTAATGCAACGGGATTGGTAGGTATCTTGGGTAGAAGACATTTTTTCATAAGTCTAATGATTAATCAACCGTTATCATGCATCTGTTGATCATTCTAACAATTTTTAATGCTAAGTTTCTCCACTCTAACGTATGTAATAGACTAATAAAAGATAAGAAATAATAATTTCAATTTATAAAAGGATTTAATCGTAAAAAATCTTTCGTACTCGATTCCTACTTCTGTATGACCAAGGAGGATCGTCATATTCTTCCAACACCCTCTCTAGACGTTTTTTTATCATCTTCTGCTTATGTTTTTCCAAAACATCCGAATACACGTCTGAGAATGGAAGTATATTAAGACCACCATCCGGGGACACAATACCAGGAAGGCCTGGTACCATACCGATTTGTCGACGAGGAAAACTGTAAGGAGGTGGTTGTATAGGTACAGGCAACATTGGACCCATTGGCGCTAAGGGTACCCCAAACGGGAGAGGCAGTCCATAAGGTACTGGTACAGTTTGGGGGATCTGTATCGATTGTGAAATAGGTACAGGAACAGGTAGAGGTATGAAATTGGTATTATTCGTAGTCTTTATGAAGGGTTTTTCGTAGCAGTAGTCGGGTAAGTTCTTCGGGTACCAGTACAATGGGTTGCAAGGGTTCTCAGTGTTTCCAATGTTCTCATTCGTTCTGAATTTCAAAGGGTCCATATAACTTAAGCCGTCAATTGTGCACGACGCGGACGATATGAATGAACTGATTATTATCTGAAAACCATCATCATTAATGAATCAAGAACACGAAAAAAATATTATAGACGTTAGACATTTCCAAAAATTGCCAACGTCACAACTAAAAAGTGGCTCTTCTGTACAAATCACATTTCATAATTTAAATTTTTCGTCTCTCTGGTTCTTCTGTTGTAGCGATTGCGATAAAATTACGTTTCGACGTAAAAATAAAACAGACACAAACACACAACCTGAAAGTAATTGCATATTACGAATTTGAGAATTTGTAATAAGTAAATTTTAAATAAGAGATCCCAACATGAAAAATACAGAATGAAAATGAGGTTTTGTTTTTAATTTTGAAAAAAATGCTGTCACTCAAATTTAAAAACACCAGAGTAGTAATTAAAATAAAATGATGAAAGAAAAGAAGAAGCTTTGTTGCTTTCTGGGTACACAAGTTCAAATTACAGGGCATAAAATATAAAGATGTAGAAGTGTACTAATATAGTATGTATATTTTAACATAATGCATTGGAATATGGTAATTAGGAAATACAAATACTAAAACTGTGAAATTATATTCAACAAATTCTATTTCCTTAAAACCACTTAAATTATTAAAAATAACGTTTATCGAACAACTCAATGGTTTTTGCTGTCCTGAAAGTCTAATTTCCGATCAAACAAAAATAAAATTATTTCATTATTAGTTAAAAAAGATAATTTAGAAGTATTGAAGTAATCAAATAATCAAAACAAAGCGGTGCCTAAAGCAGCATCGAGGAAGTCACCATTGAGACAATTCTCAAAGAAATATCAATAAACTTCTCGTACTGTGTGTTTATTGAATTTCAATGCTATCTTAATTAATATTGAAACCAATGAACTACTTCAATTAGAATAACAGTTTGTTGAAATGAATAGAAATAAATCAAAATAATTCTTACCTTAAATATTACAAACATTTTATTGACGAAATAATTTATATTAAAATAACAACGTTATAAATGTATAAAAATGTTTTATTTTATCATGAATTTTATCAACATCCATGCACTAAGCTTCGCAAAATGAACGTTTTAGAATTTGAATAATGAGCAAGCAGTCTGTCAAATGTAAAACTAGACTGAGCAAATTTAAAATAGAACAATGAAACACAATCTTCTTTGTTTTCTTACTTTTTGTCTTTTTGCTAATTCCATACAGTTTCGTAGCGATTTTTTTTTTGGTCGAGCATAATCTCATTCATTTAAACATTCAATTTCCATTTTGTTAAACAAACACTACTTAGCTGCGTGTTTAATTCGATTTCAGTAATTTCACTAATTGTGGGTTTTTGAAAATTTCCTTTAGATTTTCTTTCTGACTTTCGTTTTGAATGCTCATACCGTGATCGTTGTGTAGCTCACTATCTTTTTTCGTCTTTACCCCATTACCTTTAATGTCGATCTGGCCGAAAGACGCCCCCGAACCATCATAGTAATTGCCGGTCTTAGCGTACATTCCACCGATACGCTTAATTAAATTTTCACTAGTCCTCGAAATCGGCTGCTTGTAAATGGCAACAGGTCCTACGTTTGGCACCATTCCTATGGTCGGCGCTCGAGGGTGACTCACGACATCTTTTTTCAACGATTCTAACATCATTTCGTATGGAGGTAATTCGGAATTGTCTCTTGAGCGGTCGCCTAAATGAAAGTCGTTGGCTTCAGCTAGAATTCGGACGGGCGACCGTGAAACGATTTTAGATCGTATTAATTTCTCGAACATTCGAGCACAACGTTCCGGTAAATGCAACGGGTGCCAGTAGAACGGGTCGCATTCGTAAACGTCTCTGTATCTATCCTCGAAATCGAAATGATCCATGTACGTGACACCGGTGATTGATTGCCTTGTAATTTTCAAATACGAGAACGCGTACAGCGTAATAATTAGAAAGTTAAGTCCCTGAAAATGAAAAACACATTTTTAAATGTTATTATTAATCACTTGTGTGCTTTGTTTAGACAACATTCGTTTGAGCTGGGTTGTTTGACAAATTTGTAACATAATTAACTATGCACGTTAGTCTTTATGTTTCTGCCGGACACAAAGGCATAATAACATATAAATATATATGCATGATTCCTGCTTTTCGATTTATATTTGTATCTGCTGCACTAAAGTATATAAGCGGTCATTAATACGATTTTATTAGCTTCAGTCGTATATGTTTGTAACGGAGTCTTTGAACATGATTTTGACCCCGTTCAAAACGTCGGATTAACTCGAAATTTTGTATACTTATTAAGGACCGATGACAATTCAATATCAAAAAAAGTAATTGAAAAATATTTAAAAATATATATAATTGAAAAAAATGAAATTCAACATATTTAATTTATTGTATTTGATCACCGCGATGATCTAATACAATTCATTAAATCCAATTATTCATATTTTAGCGCAAATCCCTAATTGAACATTCAGAAAGCTTTTTATGTATTTTTCCGTATTTGCATACGAATACGCCGCTGAAATAAATTACCATCGAAACTCGTTTCATTTGAAGCATTTAATATTGCTTTTAGTCGACATTATGATAGCGGTTTAAATGTTAATTTTGATTAATACAACACGGCAAACTAAATTACTAGGGGGGCGGTGTTAAACCAAAATGCGGGCAGACGAAATATTGTAGCGTGCATTGTAGGTAGGATACATACAGGTAGGATACATACAGGTAGGATACATATAGAGGAGGGCCGTTCGGATTGTCGATAATCCCATTCTCACGGATCGTTTGGAACCTCTGGGTCTGCGGAGGGACTTCGGTTCCCTCTGCATTTTGTACCGTATGTTCCATGGGGAGTGCTCTGAGGAATTATTCGAGATGATACCGGCATCTCGTTTTTACCATCGCATTAAGCGGTAGGCAGCGGCTTGGCTCTGCCCCTGGCATTGCTGAAGTCCATGGGCGACGGTAACCACTCACCATCAGGTGGGCCGTAAGCTCGTCTGCCTACAAGGGCAATAAAAAAAAAACAAAAAAAAAACGTCGAAACTATTTTTTTATTTTATGTATTTTGGCCTTATATAAAAGAGATATAACATTATTTGTTATATTCTGAGTCCGCACTCATAGGTATTACCTTCCTGACTATTTATGTGTATATTCTGTTATTAGACAATGCAATTGAGACATTACATCTTAGGACCCCTTGTGAGTCCGTACGGGTAGATACCACCACCCAGCCTATTTCTGCCGTGAAGCAGTAATGCGTTTCGGTTTGAAGGGCGGGGCAGCCGTTGTAACTATACTGAGACCTTATATCTCAAGGTGTGTGGCGCATTTACGTTGTAGATGTCTATGCGCTCCAGTAACCACTTAATATCAGGTGGGCTGTGAGCTCGTCCACCCATCTAAGCAATAAAAAAAACATAGTAGGTGGCGAGTACATGTTTTCAGTCGACTTCAAAAAAGGAGTACACAATTCGGTTGCTTTTTTAAGGCTATTACCATAGAACTAACTCATTTATAAACCGATTGGAAAATTCATCATAATCGGCTCAGTGGAAAATATTTTATTCACCTATGGCATTTGAGTAAATAGTACTTTTTAGTGAGTCCAATTGATGTTTTGATGATGACATGTAATTGATGATTGACAACGTGTGCGAATATGAAAAAATTCACGATGATCGGTTAAGTAGTTAAGACGTGAAATGCATTGATTGCTTTGCGGCAGAAATGGGAGGAGCGGTTCTATTGCATATCGACCCTTGAAAGGCAAACGTGACTAAGCGACAATGCGTGAACTTTACAGTTTTTTTTTTTTTTTTTTTTTTTGGTACCCTGAGCGAAGTTCGCCCACGGTCACGCTCTCTGGGGCACATCTCCCCTGGGCCGCTATCGCAGCTACCACCTCCTCCTTGGTGGCGCAGTCGTCCAGGCCGGTGATCCTAATCTCGGCCATCCTCACCGGCCTGTGCACGCGCACCTCTTCCTCCGGCAACGCCACGCGGAGCGTCGCCACTAGTTTGTCCGCGATGCCAGAACTATCGGCACCGGGACACTCCAATAGCTTCGCCCCATTGGCCGTGTGCCGGAAGAGGAGGCCCTCCTCTGCCCCGATTTCTTCCAAGCTTACGGCCGCGCGCGCCCGGGCCATAACCTCATTATACGTGAGGCCCTTTTCGATGGCGGCCGGCAGCAACGTCACTACAACGGCAGCCGACCCCGCTGCGCGCGGCTTCTTCTTCTTGTTATTGGTTGCTAGCGGCCGGTGCTCGACCCTCGCGGGGAGCAGCCACGGCCGCCAGCGCTGTGTTTCGGGTAACAGCAGTCGGCGCTCGACCCCCTTGGGGAGCTGCCAGAGCTGCTGTCTGTCGCAATCTTTTGGTGCCCCGCTTCACCACTTCCGTCCAGCCCTCGTCCATGCTTGACGGGGGGGGAGGAAGGACACGGGGCTGAGGTTGGAATCGCGGGGCGGGATTCTGGGCGCCCGCACCTCTGTTATGCTGATTCCGGCTTCCACGTCGTGCCACCCTCGCGGATGGGGTAGAAGTGGAGGTCGGCTGGGTGGCCTGGTCCCGCGGGGCGGTCGCGGCTGTTGGTACAGGGACGCAATCTCTGGAACCAATCGACGAGCGGAGCATCTCCTCAAGGCCAGCCAAGTGTTTGCCGACCTCAACCGCCACCGCCCGCGAGATGCAGGCCATCATTTCCTGTCTGCTTGGGAGGGAGTGATCCACTCCCCCCATTTCAGCAGCCATGTTATAAGGCCTCTGCGACCCTGCAGCACGTGGGGGCGAAAGAGGCGGCTCCGAAGACCTGGGCCGTGGCAGCGCCGGCCACTCGTCTACCATCCGCCAGCGGCGAGCGGATGTCCTCAGTCCTTAACCTTCCTGCCTGTATGGATGCAGGGGCGGCCGATATCCGGGAAGGCGGCGCAGGCCTTAACTCAACCCTCCGAGGGGGGCGAGGGAGCGCGGGAGTAGGCACGCGCGGAACAGGGGCCACAGAAGTGGGCGCTGGCATGAGCGCCGCCACACTCATCCCAGCCCGCGAAGGCGCGCTGGTGTCCATCTTCCTCACGGGTGGCTCAGAGCGTGCCGGCGCAGGCATCGGCGACAAGGGAGTCCCCTCTCGCAAGGCTGGGGAGTCCCCCAGAATGCGACTCTCCCTGGAGTCAAGCTGCGCTACGAGTTTGGACATGGTAGGGATCAGCTTCGTCCTAACCATAGCGGCTCCCTCCCGGAGCCTCTTCCGGTAGCTGCTGCCTGGCTCGGCGCCCTTGGCAGCCACGGTCGACAGCAACTTAGCCAGATTGACCAGGGCATGGTCGAGGTCGCGGAATGCCTCGTCCCCGCTAGCCAGGGACGCGGCCGACGTCGACATCGACTCCACCGACGTCGCCGGTGACACTGCGCCCCTCCTCCTCACTGGTGCCCACTGGGGTGCGGGCATCGTGTCTTTCGACGCGGCAGGCCCCGAAATCACCGGAGCCACCTCCTCGACGGCCATGGTCTTTTCCGGCACCTCGGTGCTGGAGGATGACGCACCGCCGTCGTCGGAAGCTGCTACGGGGATCTTCCTTCGGCCTCTCTTTTTCCCCGCCGATGGTTTGGTGGGGTTCATCGCAACCGATTCGCTGGCGAGCGCAGAGCGCATCGAGCCGGCGATCAGGGAGCGATCGGTTCGACGGGAATTCCGCTGCCCGTCGCACAGCCTCCTTCATCT